CTCACCATCAGAGTGCTGTGCTCTAGGCAGCTGGGTTGCCCCTTTACTACTTCTTGTTTGCTCTTGTGCTACTTTTGCTCACACATATTTGCTGCAGCATCTTCATCTCTTTTCTTCTCATGATATTTTGTTCAGTGTCTAGCCATGCTGCCTTTAAATGCAGGTCAGCAAGGACCTGACAAGGACTCACTGGCACTCTGGATGTTTCCTGAGTGCTGTGCTCTAGGCAGCTGGGTTGCCCCTTTACTACTTCTTGTTTGCTCTTGTGCTACTTTTGCTCACACATATTTGCTGCAGCATCTTCATCTCTTTTCTTCTCATGATATTTTGTTCAGTGTCTAGCCATGCTGCCTTTAAATGCAGGTCAGCAAGGACCTGACAAGGACTCACTGGCACTCTGGATGTTTCCTGCAGCATATCCCTTCCAAGTCACGTCCTCTGTTCACATTCTGCTCAAATTTAAGCGGCTGAAGAAGTCTTCATTTTTCCAGTTAGCAAAGAATATCAATGCATGAGTTATATTGCTGCATTTTGTTGACATTTTAGATCTACTGCATCTGAACTTTTCCCAATGCCTATTTACTGAAGCAGGTATTTTCCTGATTTTTTAAAATATTATTATTATTTTATTTTTACCATTTGGGACTACTAATTGTAGCAGTGACTTAGGACATCAGAAACTCTGGAGAGCAGGTACTGTCAGGTGATCACAGAATATTGATTGTTATCACTGATACCATGGTGCTCATTAGTGAACAAACTGGTTGAGAGAAATCTAATCAGGGGAGGTTTAGGTTGGATATTAGAGAAAGGTTCTACACCCAGAGGATGGTTGGGCACTAGAACAGGCTCCCCAGGGAAGTGGTCACAGTACCAAGCCTGACAGAGTTCAACAAGCATTTGGAAGGCTCTCAGGCACATAGTGTGATTCCTTGGGATGTCTTGTGCAGGGTCAAGAGCTGGACTCAATGATCCTTGTGGGTCCCTTCCATCTCTGAATATCCTGTGATTCTGTGGTGGAGTCATGGCCACAGTTTTACTCTTATTTAAACAGATCAGCTTTGTAAGACATCACCCTACTGCTAGATACAGGCCTGTAAACCTGTGGTTGGTGCTATTGAAATCCATGATTTAATCTTTAAAATGTGTATCTAGTTAGTGGCCTGAGGCCAGAAGAATACTGCTTCCCTTTTCACCTCTGTTTTGTCAAACTGAGCATACAGTTTCACCAAACTTTTGAGATAACAAACACACACAGACACACACAAAAAGAAAGAACACTTACTGTTTAGTTCGCTTGCATTAAATGTAGTGTATGTTGCATTAAATCCATTGTAATTTTCAGAATAATCGGATATAAACTGTGCTGTAGCCTCATGAGAGAAAACATAAGTTGTAGCAGGATTGGTCCCTGACAGAGATGCTGAGAACAAATAAAGAATAATATAGTTAGAGAGGAAGTAACCTCGTGCACATTACAATCTAACAAAATGCCTACAATAACTTCAAAGCCCTGAAACATTTAGCTGTTTGGCTGCCATATAAATATTCTGCATATCCCATCTCTCATATTAATCAATCTGGATAACAGCTAGTGGAGAAATATCTCTTATAATGCACATACTCAACACTGTAATATTTATATCTATGCTTTTTATGCTGTAAATATTCTCAGAATTTACAGATTACTCTGAAACTCCAGAATCATAGTTTGATTCTCTGGTATTTTATATATGCTTACTCTCACAGTTTAGTAAGTAGAACATGCATTTACAGATATTCAAAAAGTAAGGAAACTGTGAAATTATATAAGAATTTCATTTTGTGCTGTATGCACAAAGACATATAGCACAGCAACAATTACAATCTGTCCAGAAGCAACTGGATAAGGTGCTAGATAATCCCATATGGGCTCTTTTTTTCCAGGAAACATTGAACCAGATGATTTTTCAAGGTTCCTTCCAACCTAGGCATTTCTATGATTTTATGGCACAATTTATCTAAATTTTGAATTTGAATTCTATATTAATTTAAAATCACTCATAAAAATTCCATATAACTGAAAGGAAAGGATCAATGCAGTAAAACAGCTGCTCCTTCATCTAACATGACGCCAGGCAACAACAGCTAAACTAGCAACCATATTCAAAACAAGAAAATCCTGATTTCCTCACTGTTTTGTGAAAGATTTTGTCTCCATTCTTTCTCTTCCAATGTCCTTGCTCAGATTTGCACAGATAGAATTTGCATTTCTGAGGAGGAGCTGTTTACCTGCTTGCAATACAATATGTTTGAAACAGTGTCAAACTTCTAAGGAAAGACAATGGGCATCATCTATCACACTTTTAATGATGTGGGTTACTTTCCTTCCTTCTTCTCAGCTTCTTTTACTTACTTAAGTGAAGAGTCCTAATCTGCAAATGTCTTGTAGTACTTTTCACTACTTTCAGTATTTCCAATACCAGGAACTCAAACTGCAAAATTTCAGGCAATCCTCTGAAGGACAGTTTTCAACACTGCCTTTATATCTTTGTGGTATCACTCGACATCTCCTGAGCAGTCCTTAAAACCATGCAAGTTAACAGCTGCTTCAGAAAATATTATTGCAGCAAACTCTCACATTTAAATTGAAATTCCAAAGAAGAGTCAAAGGGTAAAATTTCTCTCTCTTTATGAATCTTTCACTATTTCTCATGCCCATTCTCTACCTGCTTTCAAAAATAAAGATGAATGATAATATATCTTTCTGACTTGTGTCTATACATTTATCTTCAATGTATTTTCCACCACTGATGGAATTCAGCTGGATAGACTGAGTCTTGTGAAAAATGCTCAAAATCCCAGTTTTCCAGAGTGGAATATGGAGACAGAGATAAGGTATCATCAGTATTTCAAGGTCTGGGGAAAGCAGTTCCACTCTTGTAATGATTTTCAGGAAGTATCATAGTGCTTCTTACAACAGTTCAGTTTGGAGGTTTATTTTCTGTTATTCTGTGTGAAGTTACAGGATCTTCTGACAACATATTTCCAATGAAATATGGACCCCACAAGACTGTGACTCTGGTCAAGTTATCGAGATTGTTCAAATAAGAGCTTAAAAAACAAACAGAGATTTCTTAATATAAGGGAAGTATTTATCTGGTCTATTTTTAAGAGCAGACACATATATTGAGATCAATTTTCTAAAAGGGTAACTTTATACAGATTCATTCTTCCTCTTAAAAATAAGCATGCAATTTGTTATTCACTTCAAAATGCTTTTTTATTACTTTTTATTAATGAAAAAGTAATATTAGCTGAAACATACACTTACCTCTTAAAATCTTGTTTTGTCCTATGCCTTCAAAAATATTCAATACGTCTGCATATTGTTGTGTTTCAAAAGAAGTGAAGTTCAGTTTAATGGATAGCCCTTCAGGTACTCTAAGGTAATGAAAAAAATAAGCCTTAGAACTGAAAATCTTTTTTTAGCTGTAGTAAATTAATTCAGGAAGCTAAACTGTCAGTCAAATATTGAGCATACTCTTCTAAAAGGAGAGGAAATTGCATCTTCATTTGGAGTTAAACAGGGTGAAAATGTAAAAGATTTTCCTAGGAGTAATGGGGAATCTTTCTAGACAAAGGCAGACAGAAAAGAAATCCAGTAGGGTGACTTTTAGCACATTTTTCTAGGGATAATACAAACAATAGGACAAGATAGGGCAACAAAACTGCTGAAGGCTCTGGAGCACAAGTCCGATGAGGAAGCTGGGAGTTGTCAGGGTGGAGAAAAGGAGGCTCAAGGGGGACTTTATCACTCTCTGCAACTACCTGAAATGAGGTTGTAGCCAGGTGAGGGTTGGCCTCTTCTCCGAGGTAACTAGTAACAGGAGGAGAGGAAATTGCCTCAAGCTGTATCAGGGGTGGTTTAGGTTGGACATTAGGAGGAATTTCTTTACAGAAAGGGTGATTAGACATGGACTGCCCAGGAAGGTGGTGGAGTCACTGTTTCTGGAGGTGTTTAAGGAAAGACTGGACATGGCATTTAGTGCCATGGTCTAATTGACATGGTGGTGTTGGTCATAGGCTGGACTTGATGATCTCACAGGTCTTTTCCAACCTATTTGATTCTGTGGTTCTGTGAAAATGTCTTGCATTGGTTACTGAAAAGCCCAAAAGGTTCCCTCATAGAAACAATTCTGTTCAAAGGGAAGACAAAATTTGAGTACCACATTGAATTTCTTGGGCCTTTACTGTCTGTGTTGCCAGATGTTTTAAAAGCAGATAAGTGTAAAATAAATCCAGATGGTTTTTTTTTTACCATTGATCAATCTGTAATTACACAGATCTGCAGCACCTGTACTGTTATTTTCAAATACTCGTTTCTTTCCAAAATTAACCTTTTATTGGCTACATACCTAGTACAGATATTGTCCTAATACAATGCTTCTTGCAATTATAGCAGCACTTGGGGCAAAATTAACAATTTAGAAGGAAATAATGCACTAGAGTCATGATTATTTACCGTGCTCAAATTCTGCCACATCATGAAATGAGGAACAAATCAGACTTATATCCTGAAGGACAAAATTTTTTGATTTTCCTGGGACTCATCTATATTTTAAAACCAGTGTAGCCAGTAATTATTGGTGAATAATATTTCTGAAGATGAGAAGGAACAAATGTCCTAAACAGAATGAAAAGCATGACTTCTAGACAAATACTAAAGTCATGAGCAAAATCAAAACTTAGCACTTTCAAAGGAGCCTTTGGGATGAGAAGTCCAAATCTTTTCCAATTTTAGTGGCAATTCCTTATGCTCCTTTGAACCTCTTCTAACAAATTAACACTTTTTGGAATCAAAAAGCAGCCATGATTACAGAGACATAAGAAGAATTACTGCCTTTCAAAGCAGTAACTTCTGTATTGGCAGTCATTGCAGGGATTTTTAAAAGCTTCCAACTTGTGATCATTGCACTTATTTTAGATATGTACTTTAGGATGAGATTTATCACATACTTGGCTATCTTTTTTTCTCCCTGACTTATGTAGTGGATCCAGAGAGTCAAGTCAAAAAGCTGTCCCTCGTTGTAGGTATGTATCCTTTATAAACAAATCTCATTTCTTGTGCACAGGGCTTAAAAAATTCCATGTGATTACATCAAATTATACACATGCAATTTTAAGGCACATTCCTAAATTAGGAGTACAGGCACTGTTAACTCCCAGATGAAATCTATGCCTCTAAATGGCAAGGGAATTCTTGAAAATTCCTTCTTTTAGTAACAGTTATAAATTCATTACCTGGAGACTTTTATTTTCTCTAATACTTTGAACAAACTCTTGCAATTATTTTGAGTTCTGCAATTTATTTTGAGCTTACACCTATGTTCCTGTATATGCATATAACACACAAGATTTATCAGAACCATACCTAAGAATTTTTGTAAGTGGAAAAATTATTGACATCGTTATGGGGTTTAGGCATGCAAGTTTTTAAAGAAAAGTTACGTAAGTGCAAAGGAGAAAATGATATTACATATTTTCCATGCTGGAGTATTTGGGAATACAAACAAATGGCATAAGGCTGTTGTGCAGGAAACAATACAACCTCATACTAAAAAAAAATTATAGGTACAAAATTATTGGAAAATTGCTTACTGTATTATCCATTGGCAAATGATGTTTGCATTATATGGTTTTGGATAATTCATAGAATGAAAAAACCCAGAGGAATCAGTCAACATGAATTTTCCATCACAAACTGCTGCTGTAAAGATATAATGAAGAACATTTGTCAAAATGCCATTTGAAAAACAGAGTCAGAGCCAAAATGAGGGCAACCTTGGATGTTGGCTTACATGGATTACCTTGGAAATACTTTGTAAGCAACAATGGGAATATAAAGTAAAACACACTATCAACTTACTCCCATTTCTAATTCCTATGACTATTTGATGTCAAATTACTATATAAGAAGAAAAGCAGTGCAGCTGATTCACTTCAAATCAGAGACAATGCAACTAATCCAAACTAATTTAAATCAGTCCAAATAATTCAAACCCAACAATTGTATTTAACTAATTCAATTCTTTCTTTCATTTTATTGTATACATTTATTAAAACACCAGGACATTGCCTTAACAGCTTTTATCTACAACTACTATGAATCAGAAAACTGTGTTTGCACTACCAGAATCAATTTGATATCATATAAATAAAAGCAAGAAGGGATGTGGCTGCCTCTTGTTATCTCTACTTTTATGAGCTTCGTAGTTCCTCACCTTATATGTTTTTGAGTACTCAAAGAGATAAGTGGATCTCCCAAATTTCCTGCCAGCTATTGAACTCATTCATCTGAGGTAAATGTCATTTATCATTGTATATTTTTTAAAAAAGCTTTTATTACTTTTGTTTCCTTGGTGCTGCTATTCCATTCTACAAAAGTTCTTCAGTTTAAAAACCAGTTAGTAAATAATAATTATTTTTAAGCCTCAGCAAAATTGGAAATGGTAATTCATGCAGAGTTATTTCATCAGACACTGAAGAGCTGTTTAAGCTTTTGCTGCATCTCTTGAACATTGTCAGGAATCTGTCTAATGATGTTTGTTCTTCAGTTATTCAGAAATCATCATAGAGCTTTCAACTAAGGGTAAAATCAGTACCACACATGATTATCTGGAGAGGTAAGGAAAAGTTCATCAATTTAAGGCACATGATCAGAAATAGGATAGAGATTTCATTAACATCAGAAATGAAATCATACCCATAATGACTGTCCAAATTATAAATAATCAATCATATTGAAAATTAAATGGAGATTTTATTGAGCATAGTCCTCCTCTGGGAAATGATATGTCAAATGATAAATCAAGGTTCCTTGTCTGTTTATTTTTTAAGCTCAGTATTTTTTCTGACTACCACCATAGCAAACATAACATAAAAATTCAGCTTTGTTTTAGTAAAGCTCAGGCATTCACTGTAATAAAGACTGTGCAGAATGAACTTTTTTATCATGGCTAATGCATGAGCTGGTATAGAAACATATGAGATTTTAAATACATAGAGAGAAAAGGTCTACCCACCACAGTGGGTCATCTGATCCAACCTCCGTGCTCTAGCAAGGTCATCTTAAAACACATGACACAGAATTGCATCCAGATGGTTCAGGAATGTCTCCAGTGAGGGAGAATCCACAACATTTCTGGGTAATCTGTTCCAATGCACAGTCACCTGCACAGTAAAGTTATTCCTTGTGCTCAGGTGGAACTTCTGTGCATCAGTTTCTGTCCTTTTCCTCTTGCCCTATTCCCTGGCACCACCATGAAGAGCCTAGTTCTATCCTCTTGGCACCCTCCTTTCAGATATTTGTATATATCGATAAGATTCCCTCTTGGTCTTTGTTTGCAAGAGAGATGCTCCAGTCCCCTATAATTCTTATTGGGTTTATGCTCTTACTGTTCTTATTGTTTTCCTTTGTTATTTGCTTCTTCTTATCTCTTAAGAGACAGTGGGTAAATTGAAACAGGACAGAATGATTCTGGAAAATGTCCTTAGGCTGCTCATCCTCAGCCTAGCAATAGTCAATACTTAGTGTCTCAAGAATGAGCAGGGACTGATCCTATTTCCCTGAAGAACCTCCCAGTGCTTCCTCCTTGCAGGGAGGAGGCAGTTATGGTCAAAGACAGGCAGGGGCACAGAAATAGTTACATTTCTGGCCCCTCCTGAAGCCCTCAGAAAACCCTCAGTTGCTTCCCCAGTGAGACAGAAGGCATTCTTTGTAAGAACCACTTTAACTGCTTCCCCAACAGGGCACAGTAGTAGGGCTTAATCATGTAATTCATAAATATCAGGGAGAAGCTCCCCAAACTGGTCAGATCAAGTCCACATATTTCACTTGACAGGATCTTTCTCTGCCAAGGGCAGTACATTACTATCTGCTTTACATATGATTAATCTTTCTCTGTACTATAGTGATGCTGTGGGGTATGTAATCACAAAATGTTAGTCCAGGCATATAATATCTGCAAAGAGAGTCTGCAGAAATACCTCCTGGGATCAACCTTCAGTCTCCCTTTACACACACTTCTGTGCTACATGGCTACTTTACAGCAATGCCAGTAGATGCTGTTCAGACTTCACACTTCTCTAGGAACATATTCGCTGAAATTTCTTGCTGCACTTTTGTGATGCCTTTTGTTACTGCACTGCATTGCCAGAAAGAAACCTTTCAAGATAATTTTGATTAATCAAACAAACAAACAAAATGTGTTCAGTTGCCTGAATCTGTGCTGAGAACCTGAGATTTTACTGAATTCTGTCTAATGCAGGAAGACACAATTAAAATTCAATTTTTTATCCTATATTTAAAACCATTAACATATTGTAAAACCAAGTTGATTAAAGGGCAGCAACTTTTTTGTGTAAGAGCACCTGCAGCATGAATTATGAATTGGCTGTAAGTCTCATCGTGAAACTCTGAAACACTCCTGAAAATCTAGACAATTTTAGCTTTTATATGACTGGGACAAAAGTGAAAAATCAAAGAGGTGGAAAATTGGCAGGTGTCCCAAATGTGCATCCAGCTTCTTACCACTCATTCCACTGGTTTTGCAAAGTCTAGTAAGAAACCTAAATATATAAATTTAGAAAAGCTTTGAGGTTTTGGATGGAAAAGAGTGAAAATGTAACATAAGAATCATAGAGCAACAATTTGTTCCCAAGCCAGAATTGTATTTCTGTAAGTTTATGAGCTGAAACTGCTACACTAATAGTAAGTGAATGAATACCTTAGAAATTCCAAAGTGAAGATGAGCAGGGGCAAACCACACAGCTCCCTGAAGTGGACTGTAATTGTAGCTAGTTTCCTTATGACATTCTGTCTACTTGTATGCATGTTCCTGAAATTTTCAGCTCAGTTGTGCATGCACCTCAGTGACTGTTAAAATGCTGATTAAGAAATAATATCCTTAGCAGGGCATTCACAACTTGTATTTGGTAGAGATTCAGGGAGATAGGCAAATCAGATCCAAAAGCCATGTGTATAAGAGTCTATGTCTCAGCTGAAAAACTCCACTCAAGCACAATTCACAACTTAAACCACTGTATAGCCTCCAGGGCATGGCTGAGTCATACCTACACAGCCTTGACTTGGAAGTATTTCAGCTTATTTTTGCCTGTGTCTACCAATGTATGAATATCAATTAAATTCTGCCCTGTATTAGAAGTTTGGCTGTAATATCGTTAATGAAATGTGAATGCAACTTGTAAACTCAGAACTAGTCAGGACATCAACCTTTTGGAGTCAGTGCAGAGTAGCCCACCAAGTTGATTAAAAGGATGGAACACCTCTCCCATGAGGAAAGGCTGAGGGCTCTGGAGGTCATCGTTTCCAACCCCAAGCTCAAGCAGGGACACCTAGAACCAGTTGCCCGGATTTTCACACCAACAACTTGCATTTCTTACTGGGCTGCCAGCAACTCAAACACTTATGTCAGAGCCATACAGACACTCCCATACAGACACTCCCATTCCCTAGAATTCAGGGTTGTGAGGTGCAGGTGGGCAGCCAACCAACAAAGAGCTCCTGCCAAGGCGTCATCCTGCTGTGGCATCAGCCACACTCACCTGACCTGGCTGCAAAATGCTGCCACTACCCACCTCACACCCTCCACCCCTACTAAGTGTCTGGATGTACAGTATCAACATATCTGGGTATACACAGTCACTGTGTACACTGTGGGAAAAACTGTAGGGAACCAAAGGTGGTTTCTGATGCTAGATAATATGAATTTGTAACTGTATAGGATTGTAGTTTTAATTTATTTGGAGAGAACATTATTTGGTGTTACTGGTGCAAAACTTCATATTAAATTTCTGTATTATTTTATAATATTATGTTAATATAGCCAGATTGTAATATTTCATTATTTATTAAGCCTATTCTGCATTAATGAGAATTCTATATGTACTGGTTTTAGCTGGGATGGAGTCAATTTCTTCTCAGAAAATTAATAAAAGAAAATTGTTTCTTCTAATAACAATCAGTCATTATTATTTTTAGTAGGATTGATTCGGACTTCACTGTGTAGTTTATTGCTCATAAACTATTTACAGACTACTGACAATTTTAAGTATGTTTAAAAAGATTAATTTACAGGGGTTTACATTCTTACCACATCTTTTTTCAGACTCATCTGAACCATCTGGGCAGTTCAAGACTCCATCACAAAAGAAATCTTTGCTAATGCAGGTTGCACCATCATCACAGAGTTCAGCAGAGGGCAAACACTCGGCTGGAATAATAAGGATGAGAGCAATAACAGCACAACAGTTATGCAGTTTCACTACAGGAAGATTGACTTACTCTTGGTTGCTTTTCCACAAATCAAATCAACCACTCTATTCTGTTTTACAAAAAGGCATTTTTTGAAGCGTGGAATAAAATGCCATATACTAAAAAGATAAATTTGAAACAGAATGGACGAAGTTCCCAGAAGCTAAATATTTTTTGAAACTAAGCTTGAAATAAGGCTGGAATAAAATTTCCATGAATTCCCATCTCCTTCCTATACAAAAATAAACTACTTTATGCAATACAATAAATGACATTTCCCAATTAGTGATGTTTGAATAACCTGAGAAAACCATACTTTGGTTTAACTAACAATGAAGAAAAATCTTGTTTTCTAGTTAAATACAATTTAATTATATTTCTTCAAATTCAATACACCACGATGTTGCACTTCATTATGCTGAAGAACCCAGTCATTTACTGGCATATCTTAAAAACAAGTGCCTTTAAGGCTAGATATTGAAATACCAGAACTATTAGAAAGCCTATTCTTTTAGATTTGCTAATTAAATTTATAAGTGAAGGGCAAATTTTTGCAAAAAAGAATACATGGGCAGATCCATAAAATTTGGATCTCATTATAGTGTTTTCCTAGAACATAAATGCTCATCTGCTTTTAACATGTTCCTTTAGCCTTTAGACAGTTTTGGTCTTAGATATCTGCAGAATTCAAGTAGATCCTATTAAAGTGACCAGAAGCATGCAGCTAAAATAAGCTTTGGATAACTACTAATTTCAAAATTCTTAAAATTCCATTACATTCCATGGAAACTATTCACCCTGCACTATTCACACAGTTCCTTTTGTTTACTTCAGTAAATGCTTGCAGGAAAAGGTCAAAATTTCTTATTCAAGAAAGTGAAACAGTAGTTTGTAAAATTTGATCTCAAAGCCTTTAACCATTATTGCTGGATTTATTTTTTTTCATAAAAATGTTAGTTCTGTTATCAGAACTTTTGGTCCTGTAATTAAGTAAATGCCTGTATGATATTGTATTTTATGCCAGTGTAAGTGACAAAGACTGATATTGGTTTGGATGTATCATAGCATTTCAAAGTGCTTTACCAAACACTCTCAGTGTCAGCAATGAAAATGTTATAAAACCAAAAGTGGTGCCATTGCCAACTATAACTCCAGTTATGTCCTGGAGGTGATACAGTGCAAATGAATGAATTTCCACAGATGAGCAGAGATAAAACTGCATTCTAGACCAAGAACAAAAAATCCAACCAATAATCTAGGAGTATGTTTTGCATAAGCCAAACATGTATTGTTTACATAAAATACGATCAATTCTGGGTTTATTCAACTCAGAAAATTAAACAGCACTGCCACCTCCTGGATTGAAAGAAATCAACGTTTCCTACTAAAACATGTTGACTTCTTTTTTACACAGTAAATTACCCTAAATTGCTACGTAATTGCTATAATCAACTAAATAAGGGCAATAAACACATAAGACTGCTTATATATGTCATATACATTTCACCATATAATAAGGCTAAAGGACATTTTCAAAGATTTAAACATCTTTGGCTTCCTGTCAACTGGAAGTCAGGTGAGAGTTTGCTAAAAGTTTATTTGGTTTGTTGGGTTTTTATTCCAAAATGGTCAAGAAATAATAGAGGAAAACAGAAAGAGCAGCTATTATATGTGTCTATATATACATCAGCATACACAACACATACAGGTTTTTTTTGTAGAATGCACAGTCTGAGAAATCCCTTCTCTTTCAAGAAGTCTCCTTAGTCAAAGGTAAACCTGCATATCCTGCATTTGCACGAGTGTGATGTGAGGACTGAATGGTATGAAAAGAGACTGTACCAAGCAGTGCAATTCTGTCATCTTGGACTTTTTCACATAACCTCCCTACTTCTCCCCATGCACAGTTACTTACCAGCAGTTGTTGAGGACTTGCTTGTGGTGAGTTCTCCTGAACCTGGACAAACACAACCCAAGGTCAGAACTCTAATTGTTGCTCCCTGGGAGCACCTCTGCAGTTGCTTGGGCAGAACTAAGGAGCAGTTAAGCTGCTTTTATATCTGCATTATTTGCTGCATCCCCAGACCCCAGGTGAGGTAACCATATGGTAATGTCCGCTTGACTGATTTGGTCCTGATGGCCAAATGTCACAATAAATGTCACAATAAGAAAAAGTGATGTGGATGGAACCCAAGCATATTTTAAATCTTACTCTTTTATCTCGAGTCATATGCTTTTCAACAACTTCTTTTATTTTCTCCCCGATAAAATATGAGCAATACTTTCTTGTCTTCCACTGCTTTGTAAATTCTCACCTGAAGTTGGTGTAAGGGAGCTTGTAATTAGACTTGTGGGACCTGTTGAAACAAGGCAAGTTATGACAGCTTTAACACTAGTATTAAAATACATACCCATATGTTCTTAAAAAAACATTGCTCAACAGCCTCAAACCTACCTAGTATTTCTCTGTTTACATACAGGCATACATATATACCTGTGTGTGTACATATTTACACATGAACAAATGCCTAGGTATATAAGTAGATTTGTATTAGTGATAGCAAAATGCAAACAGTACAGAAAAATGGAACTCATATTTATGACTGCTCCAACAGAACTTCCACTTTGTAGTACTGTTAATAACAATCATCGAGGATGTGCCTGGTGTTTCCAGCTCCCAAAGTCTTTCTTTTCCTCTTTGAATTTTCATTAACATCCCTGTTTACTATCAGTCTTTCTTTTCCTCTTTCAATTTTCATTAACATCCCTGTTTACTATCTTTACTTTCTAAATTGAGATTCAAATATATGAGTAGGATGATGATGTTCTCAGCTGAAAATGACTCCCATGTCACTACAGTTAATGGACTCTGTACCTCAGTTTATGAAATGAAGGGACAGAAGGGATAAAGTGAGAGATGCAGTAAGGCCTTCTCTATAGTTTGTCATCCACCAGTTTTGCTGGCAGTATTGCTGAACACTGGCCATCACAGAGTTTTGTTAGGCACTCCTGCTCTCCCAGACCTACTAGTGCACAAGCTTGCATGAGGACTTCCTACCAATTTTCTGTCAAAACTTTCTTATTTAACAAAGGTTATTAAGCTAATCTAGGCCATTCTGTAGTAAGTGGATTGCTGAGCAGTCTGCATTAGGAAATTTAAGGTCATAGTTCCTCTGACAGTGAGAGGGGAGAGCTAGGAGGGTGCAGCTGGATGGATGTTCTCATACAGCTACATTCAGGGAAGGAAGCTTAATTCATCCCTTCACAGTAGTTTCCGAAGTGTTTTTCACATACACACCTACCTACATATCGGTCTATACATTCATTGCAGGATCACTATTTTGGAAGTAATTAAACATTCAAAGACCTAAACCATGGATGCATGTATGAGCAAGCAGTTCTAATAAAAGAGCTATCAGGAAGCTATGTATTGAAGACTGTTGAAAAAAATGGGATTGTTACAGACATTCCCCAAACTGCATGCATAGGTTGACAACAAAAGCCATGAAGTAAAACACAGGGTAGTGGCAGAGGCAGCAGTAGCAAAAGCACAAATCATAAATGTCAGAATCTCACTAAAGTAACACAGTTTTAGGGTCAAAAGAGTCATAACACAAGGATCCATCAGATGTAAACATGCCATGCATGATAAAACTTGTGTATATTGTGGGATTTGACCTGAAACAGAAGGAACAAGGAAGCAGATGACATTAACAAACATACAAAAATGACCTCAACTAGACTCAAGACCAAGAGGGAAGAAATTCACACCAGAAATATTATTGCCATTCCAGCCTGGGGTGCTGACAACCCACAGCTCCCTTCCCCCTTCCTCTAGCACCTCCACCCATCTCCCAGTTTCTTCTTGAGGATGATTAGCAGCATTGAACTTAGGACTCAGGGGAGCATTGAGATAGCACACAACAGGAAGGGACAGATAGGAAAAAATGTATGCTAGCAGTTTTAACTGTGTCTTTGGGAGTAAGTTGTAGTAATTGTACACTTTGGACTATACACATTAGTAGGCCTGTAACTGGGCTGATAATAAGATTTTCATTGCTATGGCCGTAAGTAGACTATCAGTAAATACCTGTCTCCTGTATTCATAGGTGCATATCTTTAGCTCTCATGAACTTCATGAAGTTCCTTGTCTTGTATCCTGCTCTGAAGAATTTGTATGTGATAATTTATATGCAACAATTCTATTTGCATCTAGTGGTAAAAAGCACCTACTGTATTATTCAGCTATCTGTCTGATTTTTGTCAGGTTTGTGCCCAGTGAATTTGTCAGATCTAGTTTTGTCCACTTCATACCTTACCATCATAAGACTTCTAGTGATAGTGGAATGTCTGTCAATCAACATTGCTCAGTAAATTGGTAACCACAGCATGAGAGTAGGACTCCCCATCCTCCTGCCTAAATATGTGAAAACTTTAGCTTGTGGCTCAGCTGGTTGATGGAGACTCAACTTTTGGTTTAATCCGCTAATTGCACTCAGAGCTTTTGTACAGGCTTCAGATTCCTCACCACTTTCTCAAATTGCCAGAAACTATGAAGGCAGCTAATTATTACTGAATGGACCCTGGCAGTCAAGCCCCAGATACAGCCAAGTCAGATTTGCTAACTTATACCAGCTGAACAGCAAGTATTGGTAACAAAAAGCAGTTCCTGTTTTATGAAGATACTGACCTGGTGTAGTTAAAGGCATCATTGTAGTAAGATCTTCATTTCCTAATGAAAACAAGTTCATTATTAACTTCTTTTATAGCACAGTATCTACTTTTATACAACAAAAAGGTAAAAAAATCAGCTGTGACTATTTTTCTTTGAATCACTAGCAGTACCTGCTTCCCTCCTTTTGCTGACCCACCCTCTTCCCAGTCCATCAAACTCTATGATATTCCTAAGGAGGAAAGTTCGATCTTCATTTCCTAATGAAAACAAGTTCATTATTAACTTCTTTTATAGCACAGTATCTACTTTTATACAACAAAAAGGTAAAAAAATCAGCTGTGACTATTTTTCTTTGAATCACTAGCAGTACCTGCTTCCCTCCTTTTGCTGACCCACCCTCTTCCCAGTCCATCAAACTCTATGATATTCCTAAGGAGGAAAGTTCTATACTAATCCCTTTCAATTCTATTCTCCTATACTAATCCCTTTCAATTCTCAATCCCTATTCATTGTATTACACATAAAATATCTTCATCAGGGAAATCTCTGCCTTGAGACTTTTTGTATTATAGAGATTTTCAGAGCACCTGTGTCTTATAGAATAGTGTTTAGAACAGCTAAATGAGTTCAAATTAACCTGGGATAATTTACAAGAAAGTTACTTTTAATATTGTGAAAACTGTGATTTAAAGTAGGTCACACCTGTGTTGTAGTTCTCTCCCTCTGTGAAATAGGAATACGACTTCTCTTGCAGCACATATTAAGATACATGATGTAAAAGTGACACATATGATTATGATGGTTAATTAGTTAATTAGTTATAGTTATTTTATTGAAGCACTCCTGATCAAATAGACAGGTGATATCTCACATAAAAAAAGGTTGATGACCCATAGCAGTATTTTTTGATTACTTCCAAGTTCATCAGTGGATATAGAACCTTTTTAAAAGCTCTTCATTATTTTCTTTGGTGGCATTTTTGAAGTATAATGAGCAATCATATTCCACAGTGTTGTGCAGTTATTTAGAAAAACACTTTATATGTTGTGCAAGTAGTAAAGAGAATTAAAGGTGCCAAGGCTCTGAATTTAGCCTTTGAATACCTGAAGTACTTAGCAAGAAATGTCCCTTTTAGAATAGAGTAAGACACATAGCACATCAGATTCCCACTTCTCTTAAGGCAGTCAGTTGCTAATTAATAGTAACTCCAGCAGATCTTCAAATGTCAGCTAATCAACTTCCACTTCAAGGAAGTAAAATTGCTTTTTATCCTCATTCTCAGTGAATGTCTGTTTTGAAGATTTATTGAGGTAAAAACAAGGATTCCCATTGACCTTGATGGGCTTCCACTCAGGCTTTGATAAATTTTCTATTACTTACATTAAATAACTATATTTGCACAATTTAAAACTACTGAGTCTTTAAAGCCATATTTCTTCTTTTTCCATTTACGCTTTTCCTAAGCTTTACAGCAATATGAAGCCCCCTGGTGGGCACTTCTGAAGTCACACTGTGTATTCAGTTTGTTGGTGTGACTGACATATTTTCAATAAATAAGTCTTCACTTGCTGCAAGTCTGAGCCCTTTTCCTTATTTAGCAAAAGATGAAAAGATAACTGCACTCGCTTATGAAACAACACGGTTGGGGCTTAATTGCTTTAATTTGAAGGATAACAAAATCACAAATGTTATGCTGCATAAAAGAGATGAAATTGAGTCTTTTTCACTGGGAAACCACTAGTTTGTCCTTTACTCCCGCAGTGAACATACAATGCTGGCTCATACTTTGTAGTTTACAATGGTTCTCTCAGCTGCTACTGAAAATTCTGTAACGGGGAGAGAGGGCACCCAGGAGCAAAAGTCACTGTTTGGGAGCCAAAGTTCTCATTCATGTTACCTGTGGTTCTCAAGAATTTATAGATTACCTGTTACTTGTATGCTGTTCACATCAATTTTCAAAGTCTGTGTAGGATTAGGGTTATTTGTGTTGACACCCAAAACCAGCTCATTTTTTACTTTCTCAGCTGTAACCATCTGGGTGAAATACAGGGTGAAGATCACAGCAACACTAGCAATGCAAAACAGAGAAGTTCATTAGTTATTCAAGGTAATTATATAAATATGCTATATGACTTGTCATCTAGACAGTATTTCATACCAAGACCAGTTTCATTTACAATGTCAGAATATCTTTAAGTGTTGTCTGGCTAGGATAACACATAGAGAAATATCTCTAAATTATCAGGTAAGTTTGAACCTTGGAGAAACTTTTTTCCGTCTTTACCTACTCTTATTTTCATTGTGAGGAAAAACCAAAACCGCATCCATATCCATTTCTGCAATGGAGATGAATTTGAAGAAATAGATTTATTGTCATTCAGCAGATCTTCTTTTTTAAGCCCTAAAACATTGATGGTGACTCTTAAAGTGTCAGGAAAATTGTATAATACATTCATGTCACAAAATATAATACAAAAAGATTGCTTTTATAAATGAAACACCTTGTATGGATTCTGCTTTTGTGAGGATCAGTTGTGTGATTGTCTGGGCTCTCACAAGGAAACAGCAATGGCTGAAAACAGGTATATTTTGAAATCATTGTTAATCTGCATTTAATTTCTATGGGGTATGAATTTTATCCAGTGTTATCTGTTTGCTCTCTCCCATCCCTTCAATGTGTGGCTAGAGTAAGGTAATGTTGAAGTCTGATACTTTTCAAAGAAGTTTTTCTCCTTTTACTTAGATTTAGGTGAAAGCATTTTATTCTTAAGCATGTATACTACCCATTTGCAACTGACTCAGTAGTGCTTTTTGTAAGGAGCGATTAATCCTGTCATTTTGCTGAGCATAGTTCATAGTTTGTAATATGTGGAAAAGCCCTCCTTCCTGCATGCTTCTGGTAACCTCTAGGTCATGCTGAGCAAACAAAAGCTTTAATTGCTATCCTTGTGACTCAGCAGATGTACAAGGGTGAAATAACAAGTAGATTGCCTAAAGGGCTAAACACATTTTACATGAAAAGAAAATAATTTCTTAGACAAATTATTATTCAAAGCAGAAATGAAGACAGATCTTTACTGAGGTAGTAAAATCCAGATCCAACATTCACTGACATAAGATTTTCTGCAGTTCCTGTGATTCTTTTGTCAAGATACAAGGGTGGAATTGGTTTTGCCAAACATAGATATTTACAGTGCAGATATCTAGATTACCATTGTAGTTGATGTTCTTTGGCATAATTGATTTTCTCCTAAAAAAGGCATCTAAATCGACCAGATAAGAAAACTCTAAAAACCCATCACTTACAAAGACAATCTTGAGCAACCAGATGAAAAATGTCTCCATCTTTGATGCCCAGATTTTGGCGAGGATAGTCCCTTTCTATGTGCAGAAACCAAATTGTGCTGACTGGATCTACGTCCACAAGGATAAAAAACCTGAAAGTTGCCTACTCCTACTACTGTGCACTCCATTGCTTTAATGTTTTAAAGTATTTCATAAAGTGAAATATTTCATAAAGTGAAACCTTTCTAGCTAATTAGGTTTATGTCCTCACTATTCCATCAAAGGATTTCTCTAATTTGAATCTCCTTCCCATTTTCAACTTACAGGTATTCATGGCTGGCTAATATCCTAATATATTGTTCTTTTACTTTCAAGCATGGTCATCCAAATAAACTATCTACTCTGCATATTTAACAACTTTAAGTATTTACAGAAAACATTGATATCACAAGAACACCTGCTATGACAAAACTTCACCATCTGTTGTCATGTAATGTGAACTTTAATTTTGTGGTTTTACATGTAAGACAGTCAATTATATACTTATTTTCTCTGGTGTCTTTCAATTTACTGTTAATCTTTTGTCCTCTGCTTTGTTCTTGCCTATCACAGTGTGTCATCAGATCTTTCTTTATTTAAAACTCGAATTGCTAATAATAATGTGAGATCTGTCCCTCAGTTTAAGTAGCTTTCAACAAGCACAAACTGATAACCTCTCCTTTCTAGGCAATTTCTTACCTAATTCACCATCACTTTTTCCTTTTTTATTTTTTTCCCTCCTCTTCTAATCCTGAAGGGTGGTTTTGGAAGAAAGACATGTCTTGAAGCATCATTCTCTTTAGAAAGCCTTATCCAGTTTCTAAAAGTGATTTGTTTCTTTTTTCATCTATTCACTGTCCACAGAAGAACTGTCTAAATTAATAGCATCATTGTCTCTTGCCCATATTTAACGTGACTTTGTCATACGCAATTACCTAGTCTCTGTCTTCCTGAATCTTTCCTGGCCATCTTCAGATTTCCTATAGAAAAAAAAACAACAATAAAAACCCCACAACTGAAAGCATATGGTTCTCATTGAGTTTATAAAGTTATGGATAGGATTGAAGCATGTTCTGAAACTGTTTAATAGCAGGAAACGATATTACATGTTTTTGTGGAATCAGGACCTTATTAAGCATAGTACAGATGGAATTAACACTACAGATCTCACTGCATGGAGAATTCTTGTGAGTTGGTCTTAGGGCTCAGCCTTATTGTTTTGTTCAAGGCATGGATTGAGTCTGAGAAGAAATTTGCCCAAGGAAACACATTGGTGTCAAACTTACCACAGTAGCACTTAAAAGATGGAAGATGTGAAAGGAACAATATAGAGTGATCCCAAGGAACTTTTGAAAAGCAAGGTATTGGTAAGTACTCCTGAGAGGAATAGCTAAGTGATGACTTTTGATGTTTGTTTTCAAAGTTTAATTAAACTGTACCTACTTGAACTGGGAAATTTCACATCTTTGAAATTTGTTTTTCAGGTCACTTTCTTGAAAGATGTTCTGTATCTATATGAATAAGACAAATCTTGAACCAATCCAGTAATTAAAAATACACCCAGTTGTACACTCATAGTCATATACACACATACATTCATGGGTTTAATACTAAATATTTTTTTTCTAGACTACAGAAGCAAAGTTTTTCTTTGGTGATTCACTGACTTTCACAAATAAGGAATATATTGAGTTCTGGCCATGCTTAGGACCTGAAATATCTGTTTTTGGAAAGAGCCATCAACAGAAGGTAGTGTTAGGCAATTAATGTACCTACGAATACTTTTGAATTAACCAGAGACCTGTAGGTTCTTACCAATTGCTCCACATCAAAGGCAAGGACTTTGAAATCAGCGGATGAACTGTTTTGCAAAGCAGGAGTGAATGATGTCCCAGAGAGTATTTTAAATATGCCCATGTAGCCATGAGTATTCACATCTGCTTCAACTACATAATTAAAAAAAATAGTGTTTTGAATTATATAGAAATAGATGAAAAACATTGCATTAGCTTTTATTCCACATAGATCATCAGCACAATAGCTTCTAGTTTTTGCTTTGCTTTGCAGTTAGAGATGTTTGCTGGTGCTGATTTAAAAAAAAGTAATAGGCATTTTTCAATGTTTACAATAGTTATGACTCTGAACATATTTTTATGAATACTATCTGTTCTTGGTTCTCATTACCTTCAATTCTGATTTAAATGGTGTTTTCCAGCAACACTGTGAATGGATGAAGGGGAAAATGGTATGTGCAGTTATGTCTAACACAAGGGACTAAGGTAGATGGGAAGAATAATAGTGAATTATGAGGTTGCTTTATGTTCTGATTTAAAAACATTAAGAACTGCTAGTTCACACTTCCTGTGTTAGTGCTGTGCACTTTATATATATATATATATGCTGGTTTTGATGACAGTACTGGAAACACTAGTGTCAGATTAGCTAAACTATTTTTGACCCAACCTTTCTTACCAATATACACATGAAATATGGGGAGGATTTATAAGAAAACAGATAACTGGTCCTTACTACAAATTTAATCTTGATTTTAATATGTTACAGCATATGAAGTATACATAAAGCAATTCATCATACATTAAAATATTTCTTCACTCTGTAGCACACTAGAATTTTTTCAGAAAAGACCAAAATTAATGTGGTTGATTGATAGAAATGCCTTTTGCTTACCAGTTACAGTACTAATGGCAGTTTTAGGTTGTGTTTGAAGGTGTTAACATCAATAGCAAGTTTTAAGACAAAAGCAGATAAGCAATAAATACTACAATAAACAGCTTGTGATGGAAGGCACAGCACAGTGACACCAATTTGGTATCAACTAGCAACAGCAGACTGCTTTGAGAATCTTTGAAGGCCATTTGTCCTTACAACAATTGTAAATCTGTTTAAATTTTTTTTCTAAATGGTAAAGGTCTTTTTTTGATCCATGTAAAATATAATTTAAAAAATGTTATAGAATTATTATTTTTACATGAATAAATTCTTCCCTATTCATCTTCTAAACTCAAAATTATCAATTTAAAGCCTGTCTCTAGATGCAATAATACACTGCTTTATTTTGGTGGAATGTGATAACATTTTGGTAAGAGGGTAAGGAAGCCAGTGAGGGGAAAAGGTTTTAAAATCTGGAAAGAAAAACAGTAGCAACTAAAGGAATGAATGTGATACCCTGACAAAACAAGTTTACATATGTCTTACAGAAAGCTTAGTCTTCATGAACTAGTATGAAATAGTATGGATTTTTAGTTAATGGAGGCTTTTTTACATATGTCTTACAGAAAGTTTAGTCTTCATGAACTAATATGAAATAGTATGGATTTTTAGTTAATGAAAACACTGAAAACTTCAATGTAGCAGATAACTTTTTCAGTTATAGAAGTCAGTATGATACTCCTGCCTGTAGCTTCATATCTCTCATGTATTGTGGAGCCCAGAACTGGGCACACATGTGTGGCCTTATCAGGGCACAGTTAAGATATATCTGCAAGATCTCTTAACCAAAAGTTCAGTTCCATTTGAAAATCAACCTATGTTGATATTTTCATTTAATTTACTTTGAGAATCAGTAACTTTATTCTCTCACATTCTGAGCATTGGCTAAAATTTAAGAATGACTTTAACTTAACTATACATGAGGCTGGCAGCTGATTGTCTAATGCAGGATCTCTCTCACATCAATACATTACTTCAAAATATTTGCTTTTAAATAAAAATTGAAAGAGTCCAAGAGATGGAGACTCAAAATATTTTTAAAATAAAAACGAAAGAATTCCAAGAGATAGGAAAAACCTAAAGTTGCCCACAGGCTGCAGTGGATTATCAGTGTCTTCTGACTCAAACCTTATACATGTAGAAAAAAGCAAAAATTCCCAGTTTGCCGTATTGCCTTCTTTAGTTTATGAATATAATTGAACAACTTTATAGCTTGGTTTGCATTTCAGGGACCTCTCCCAAAGCCTAAACCATGCAAATTCTTTTCTGTGGCTTCAGAACATGATTCAAGTGCTTGTTTTTTTCCCTATTTTGTTCACATAAATTTTCAGAGCAGGAGAGGAAGAACACGCATATAAAAACCTTATTTTGTTTACATAAATTTTCAGGGCAAGAGAGGAAGAACACGCATATAAAAACCTCAAAACACCACTTCCCTCCCCAACATTAAAAACATAACATAAAATAAGAAATAAAATTACAATGAAAACACCACTGGCTTCAAAGTCTGAATGTCTACTGAAGAACTCCTGAATAGGCTAAAGGTTGGCTACTTACCTTGTTCCAACTCCTTTACATAAATTTTCAGGGCAAGAGAGGAAGAACACGCATATAAAAACCTCAAAACACCACTTCCCTCCCCAACATTAAAAACATAACATAAAATAAGAAATAAAATTACAATGAAAACACCACTGGCTTCAAAGTCTGAATGTCTACTGAAGAACTCCTGAATAGGCTAAAGGTTGGCTACTTACCTTGTTCCAACTCCTTGACTGATAACCATGAAAGCACAATCAGTCCAACACATACACACACAAAAACTGCAAGGAGAGAAGCAAACAAAATCTCATAGGTACTAAGAGGAACATATTTCTTATCAGATGATTTTTTTAGCTTCATTTCTCTCTTGAAAACTTGTGTGAATTTAAGACTGACAAAAGACACACTGAAAAGGAGGGTAATAATCCACAGGGACAGATATTTATAGGAGAGGCTTGTAAATTAATTACACCATAAAACTTCATTGACAACAGTTTTTGCAACATTCCTGAACAGTCACATTCATGCACAAGATATGCAAATAGGAAGAAAAGAAATCGCTTCAGACCGAAAGCACCTAAGATTATGTCTCAGATAAAGAATACGCAAAACCACAGAAATGTAAGGTTGGTCACTGAATTTGCACTATTTCTTGTCATTTGATATTTTAAAGTAGCAATTAATATAAAATATTGTTGCCAGATTTACTTATTGTAGTAAGGTTTTTGCTAATTTTTCACAAGTGCAATTATAAGGACAATGGTGAAAGCCATATCTTTCCTCATTCTGCTAAAAAATGTCTTTAAAAGTAGTTTTATTTATACAGAAAATGCTGGGAAATGAGTTGTTTACTAATGCGCCATAATTCAGCAACATGTTCAGCGCAGCAGTACAAATTTAATCTGCATAAAGGTAATGTGCCATAATTCAGCAACATGTTCAGCACAGCAGTACAAATTTAATCTGCATAAAGCATGGTTCTTTGACTACATAGCTGGAGAACTAACCAGAGAAGACATTATGAAAAGCATGATTATTTTGAATTTTCTTGCCAGGCATAAATATGCTATGGGATTCAAATCCCTGATAAAGTTAAAGCATTGTGGATGGTCAGTGCTGCATCCTTAATAAAGCAGGAGTAAATTAAACAGGCAGTGTACCACCCCATCCAAAATATTTTGTTATAAATTTAATCTGTCAAAAGTTTTCAGCTCCAGAAAAGTAAAGTCATATTGATTTTAGGTTTTCCACGCTATGAACTACTGATTTTGACTCTGGATTAGAGGCCCTAAATCTAGATTTATGGTATGTGCTGGTTTCAGCTCAGGTGGAATTAATTTCTCTAAGTAGCTGGTACAGTGATGTGTTTGGATACAGAATGAGAACAATGTGGATTACACAGTGATATTATGTTTCTGCTAGGTTGTGTTTATCTTAAATCAAGGACTGTTTCTTTCTTATGTCTCATGCTCTGCCAGTGAGAAGGTACACAAGAGAAACTGGGAGGGAGCATAGCTGGGACAGGTGACCTGAACTAGTCAAAGGAATATTCCACACCATTGAATGTCATCCCCAGTATTTAAATGGGAGTTGGCATTGGTCCGTATTGTGCATCACTGGTTTTGTGTTTCTCCCTTTTCCCCCCAGAGTGGGGGGAAAGGGAGAGGAGGGAGTGTGAATGGCTGCATGGTTTTTGACTGCTGGCTGAGGTTAAACCATGACATGATACGAATTTCCTCAGCTCTCCTTTTTGAACTGGAGCATCTGAGCAAACCAGCCATATTCCTGCCTTTCAAAGGGAACAGAAACTTACCTGAGCCAATCTTAGGAAGAGAGAATCTCTATCTGTCTGTAAATTGACAGAAATTGAGATAACATGAATTGAAAGAAATTAGTCTCAAAATAAGACCTTTGGATGACATAGTAGTTCTCTGGCCAATCTTTGAGAACTGGGATATTTGAAAGCATCTGCAACACAACTGATCAGATTTAAAGCACTGTAAATCAGAATCAAAATCTTGACCTGACAGTAGAATCCATGATTTAGTGTGTAATCATAACATAGTGAATGAAATATGGTAATATTTCCCATTACTAAAAATAATTAGTCATTTAAATCCAAAGATTTTTAAACAAAATTCCATGCAGCTTAATCATATTGCCCTTAGGGAGCAAGAGTAAAATCAGCCTGTATCCTCCAAACAGATGAGATTTTTGAGGCATCATGCTAGATGAAATAGAATAAGAATTGCTTTTGTATATATTGTGTATCAAACACACACACACATATGAATATAAATGTGTGAACAGATTAAATCTGTAGTACTGAATAATGCTGAACTGTGGCACACTAATGTTTCTGTAACTATTTGTGATTATTCAGCAATAATTTTAATACCTTTCAATACAAGGGGTTTAAGTTTCAATATTTTTCCTGAACAGTGACTCCATCACCCAAGTTCAGGATACCTCTAAATAGCTTGCTTAGCTCAGTCGTACATGCTAGGTTATTCAACATCTAGCAGAAATATGCAATTACAGTATGCAAGCTGGAGCAGGGGATGAATGTAAAGTGGAGGGAGCAATAGAGAGGAGCTGTTATGGACTGACCACAACCCCTTAGTCCCATCTCCCTGCACTACTTGGGGATGGCAATCAATTAAATTGCTTTTCCCCAAGCCGAGTGTGTTTTATCTGTGATGGTGATCAGAGAACAACTTCCCTATCTTCATCTTGACCCATGACTTCCTCCCTGTCCTATTGAGGAGGAAGACTGAGTAAGTAGCTGGGTGGGCATCTGACAGCCAGCCAAAGTTAACTCACTGCATTTTCCATGTTGCATGAAGCAATACTAGTTTATTCCTGTCTTATTACTAACCAGACATTTTTAATCCCTAATCTGAGGAGTTTTGTGCAGATGGATGTTGGATTCCTCTGTCATATTTAGCATAATTTAACTATTTATGTCATCGACATTAAATATCACTAGTGAAAGAAAAACACTGTTACCTGAAGATGTCATTGCAGTTTCAATCCTGAATGTATGCCCTAATGGTGAAGTGATTAACTGGAGAAATAAAAACTGTGGCCATTTACAGTTCACACACATTGACTGCAGTCTGGCTGAGGATACAATTTAGCATGGGTAGTCTCAGATTAGAGTTGTGACTCTTACAAATGAACTCATTTGCTAAACAATTCTAGCTGGCAACAAGATTGTGGTAGTAATAACTAATAGGCAGACCCTGGACACTAACCTGATGTAATTAAAAATGAGTTATTTCATTAATTTGTTTGTACCATGTCTTTTCCTTTACTAGCATGAGCTGGTTCAAAAAGAATAAAAGAAGCCACAATTTCACATTTCTGTTTGCAAACCTTCAAAATGAGGGGGAAGACTTCAACAGCATGCCAATGCTTGCTTACCATCCATCAGGAATTACAGAAGCAAAGCAGTTTATGCTGGAAGGAACCTATGAAGGTCCTGTGGTCCAACCACCCGCTCAAGCCATGGCTAACTGAAATTAGATCATGCTGTTCAGGACCATGTCTAGGCAAGATCTGAATACCTTCAAGGTGGAAGACCCCACAGACACTTGGAAAAACTACGTGACTACTAATTTAATGATTTTTTAAAAATCATATTGGTACATCAGTTACTGCAATTTGTGTTCATTGCCTCTTGGGCTTTCACTTTGCAATTTTGAGAATAGTCTACCTCTGCCTTATCTGCAATCATCTCTTAGATATCTGAAGGCAGTAATTAGATGCCCCTATCAGCTTGCCAGCCCCAGCCAGTACTGATATGTCAGGTTATGCCATTCCAGATTCAGGACTTTGCACTTCTTGAACTTGGTTGAACATTATGAAGTTTCTGACAGGCCATTTCTACACCTCTTAATGACAAGTACATCCTGTAACAGCAAACTTCCCTCCAGCTATTGATTTCACTATAATTTCCTCTATGGACTGATAGGACTCTTAAAAGTTGGAATTGGTTGGTTTGCTACATGACTAAACAGATGAAATGATATGATCCATTCTGGAAAAGAGTGAGTATTAACTGCCATTATTACCAAATGACTACTATCTACTGAAAGTTGTGAGTATTCACAGGTCATGAACAGCCTGCAGTGCAGAAATTATTCAGTGGAAGAAATAATGTGAAGTTAAAAATAACAAACCAGATTATTCAGTTCTATTGACAAAAAATTTAAAAATAGGAAACTAATTAAATCAGTTGCAGGTTATTTTCTAAACTCTAGTTTTATGACACCTATACTATAATATACCATGAATTTAAAACATTTTAAATGGTACAAAGGCAAACAGTCTCCTCATGTGTTAAAACCCCAGAAATATGACAACTTATTTAATATTGCTAACTGACTTTTTATTATTATTACTACAGTCATACCACAACCAGAAATATAACAACTTATTTAATATTGCTAACTGACTTTTTATTATTATTACTACAGTCATACCACTCAAATATCAGATTAGGTAATTTTTTAAGAAATAGGCCATTGCCATAGTAGAAATCTAACAAAGCAACAATTTAGGTCTTTTATTTTGCATCCACATCTGCAGCTCCACAGGTTTTATAGCCTTATTGGGTTGCTTTTATATTGTTTAATGAGTCTCCAGTACAGAGTGAAAAGATTGCTGACATAGAAAGGAGGGGTGTTGTGTTCAGAAAATTCCTCTAATACCCAGGCTATCATAAACATACTTAGAGCCTGACATTCCATTAATAGCTAGCTATCTGTGGGAAAATGCCTTGATTACCCCATAGACTTGTCCTCCTCTATCAAAATTAAAAGAAAATTAGCTTTCTCATGGCAGCTATTCTTAGATATTTAAGTGCTTTATCCCTTTTGCTATGCAGACTTCCAGAGAAGAAAGCAGAAAACCAAAGTAAAGGATCTGTGGTGAAAGTGAGAAATGGAGTATCAGCTTATTTTCACTCCTACATCAAAAGGAGAAGTTTAAAACAGAGATCATATGGAAGTGCGACTTCTCAGTAATCATAGAATAACAGAATCATAGAACGGCCTGAGTTGGAAGAGATGCTGAGGACCATCTAGTTCCAAACCCCCTACCATGGGCAGAGACACCTTTCACTAGACCAGATTGCTCAGAGCTCTATCCAAACCTGGTGTTAAACACTTCCATGGATGGGGCATTCGCAGTTTCTCCGGGAAACATGTACCAGTGCCTCACCACCCTCACAATAAAGAATTTATGCCTAATAGCTAAACTAAAACTACTTCTCTGTCAGTTTGAAGGCATTTTTTCTTGTCCTGTCACTATATGCCCTTGTAAATAGTCTCTCTCAATCTTTCTTGTAGGTTCCC